CCTTGTGGGCTTATCGCACCACCACCCGAAGTGCTACTGACTCTACTCCCTATTCATTGGTTTATGAGACTGAAGCGATACTACCCCTTTAGATTCAACTCCCCTCATTGTGCAACGCCGTATATCATAATATGACCAAAGATGAACAGGTTAAGCTTCGCTTTCAAGAGCTAAACACCCTTGATGGGAAGAGATTCGAGGCCCAGCAGAACCTTGAACTCCACCCGGGGAGGATGAAGAGGGGTTTTGACAAATCAGCCAAAGTTCGAACAATTGTTATGCATGGGTGACGCAAGGGGAAGTTTGAGCCAAAGTGGGTAGGCCATTTTGTAATTAAGAAGGCCTCGTTGAATGGAGGTTATATACTGACTAGTTATGATGGGAAGGAAGCAATGCCTTCTATCGACGGATGCTACCTAAAGAAGTATTACCCGTGACTTATGGTCTCGGAGGCAAGACCCTAAAATATGTCCTTAGGTCCTAGCGTGTGACCATAAAACACACCATCTCTATGGTCCAGAAGGCACGACCTTAAAAATGCCTCCTTGAAAAAGGGGTGTGGCAAAAACCCAAAAGGATGCCACAAGTAAAAATGCCTAAAAGAAACGACGGGGCATGATTGCACCATCTGCTCGCTATCATGAGTAAAAAAATGTCAAAATGAGGACATGGTGAAATCCTGAAAGGGCATCATGGGTAAAAAAGTTAGCATAAGCAAGAATGTGGAAGAGAAAAAGGGAAACAGTTGACGTGAATAAGCAGAAGTTTCCATTCGATTAAAAAGAAGTTACAAGTTACAACTTTGTAATCTCGAAAATCTTAAAAAGTAAAGCAAAAGGGGGGGTCAACATTGCTCTTACATCTGAGGAAAAGAGAACAATTGATCATCAGTGCTGCACTTGCATCTGAGGAAAAGAGAATAGTTGATCATTAGCATTGCTCTTGCATCTTAGGAAATGTGAACAATTGATCATCATATGAGGAAAAGAGAACAGTTGATCATCAGCATTACTCTTACATCAGAGGAAAAACACCAAAAAATGCGTTGCTCTTCCACAGAACAACATGGGGTTTACAATTGTGCTTGAGGACTTGGCTTCCAACAGATTTCGTGAGACAAATTGGCTTTCCTTTAACTGACCCAGCACCCATAAGAATGCCAGCCTTTGGCAGATTTCCCTTGAGATCTCGACATTTTGTAAGATCTTCAAGCCGTCGCACATGCTTCGTACAACACCCACCGCCATGCATGTAGCCCTCTAGCACATGCACCGCTGGGCACGTAACCCTCTGTGCGTACTCACCACCCTGTGCAAGTACTACCATGCACATTCTTGCTGTTGTGCGTGATCACTGCCGAGCGTATACTTCTCGCCATGCGTACTCATTGTCGTGCGCACCCACTGTCGTGCACATACTTCCCACCGTGCATACTCACTACCATGCACGTACTTTCTGTCGTGCACGTGCCTCCTACCGTGTGTATACCATTGAGTGCGCACGTACTACCCTTGAATTCCATGCTAACGCCTCCCTGATGGGTGACCCTTCGCTTTCCGTGCACTACACCTGCATGTGTGGTGACTCGCTGCATGGGCATGCATGACCTTTCGGTTGGGCCCCGACTCCTTGGCTACTCGGTGACCCTCCGGCTCCCCTGTGAGCCACCTTATTGGGAAACCACTGACTGTCTCCAAAAGAACCTCTGCAATGCACTTACCGTGACTCTCTGAATTCCCAAAACCCGACGCAAAACCTTCCCGCGGGGCTTCAACTCCCTCAGAGTTTCCCTACAACACTTCTCGGCATGTTCACTTCACCAGAAAAATGTCGGGACCTCCCTGTTTCTTCCTCTGCAACCGCTGTCGACAGACCCTAGCTCGAAAAATCCCATCGCACCTTCTTCTCCTCTTCCTGGTGAAGGTCCTTGCTCACGATCGAGCCCCTTTCTCCCTCTTTCCGTGTGTTCCTCTCATCGAAAAGCTCACTTCCGGAGTTCACCCTCTCATTAATCAAGCCCCTTCACCGTTGTCACTATGGTAAAATGGTAAAAAAGGGGAGTTTCAACTCCTTTTATAGCCAAGGGTTCCCAAAGATGCCCCTCACAAAGAAGAAAGGACGCCCAACTCCAAAAGGTCAAACGGTAATGGGCTCGACCGGGTTAGGCTTAGCCTTGAGCCTGAACCCGACATATTGCCTCTCATTGTCGAGCGCGCTTCTCACTGTCGTGCGCTTTTTCACCGCCAAGTGCGCCTCTAACTACTTTGCGCTTTTTCACGACCGAGCGCGCCTCTAACTACCATGCGCTTTCTCACTGTAGAGCGTGCCTCTCACTGTCGTGCACTTCTACACTACCGAGTGCGCCTCTCACTGTCGTGCATTCCATGTATCACATGCTTCTATCAACTTCAACAAGCTACTGTTATAACATGCCTCTCACCGCACGACCGCCACCATGCACACTCACAACACACATCGTCATGCGCTCACCACTAAGCATGTTCGCTACCGTGAGTGCTCCACTGCAGTATGCGCCTTGACGATCTCTTGATGATGAGGCCGAACGTGATACCTCTGTACTGCCATGTGCAACCTTTTGCAGCTGCACCCACGCCTTTTGCATGCACTTGCATGCACTCCTTCCCTAACCGGCCCGTCCGTGTGCGCACCAGTAAGTTCGGCCCCCATTACCTTTCCATCACCAATAAGGAACCACCCTTAGTTCCTAATTCCCTAATGTATCCATTTCCATCTACCATCCCTCATTGGGCCACCATCACCATTTGAAACGACTGCTTATAAATGGTCTCGGGCATTTCATCCCCAGTGAGTCAGACCACCATCCACAGGCCCATTCCACATGGAGCCTCATCCACTTGACGTCTCCCAATGAGTTTACCCCTCATTGGCGACCCACATACACGACAACTCAAACACGGTCCAGTTGTATCACCTTAAACTATAGTGCATGTCTTGGATGCATGATGCTAAATTGCTTAGTGCAATGGTCTAGCTATATGACCTTAAACTATAGTACACGTCATGGGCGCATGATGCTAAACTGCTTTGCGCAACTGTTCAGCTGTATGACCTTAAACTATAGTGCACGTCCGGGCCACAAGACGCTAAATTGCTATGCGCAATGGTCCAGCTGTATGACCTTAAACTATAGTACACGTCCTGACCAAATGACGTTAAACTGCTTTACGCAGCAGTCCAACTGTAAGACCTTAAACTATAGTGCATGTCCTGACCGCATGATGCTAAACTGCTTTGCGCAATGGTCTAACTATATGACCTTAAATTATAGTGCATGTCCTAGCCACATGATGCTAAACTGCTTTGTGCAATGGTCCAGTTGTATGACCTTAAACTATAGTGCATGTCCTGGCCACATGATGCTAAACTACTTTGCGCAACGGTCTAATTGCATGACCCTAAATTGTAGCACACGTCCTAGCCGCATGATGATAAACTGCTTTGCATAATGGTCCAGTTGCATGACCTTAAACTGTAGCGCATGTCCTGGCCGCATGACGTTTAAACTGCTTTGCTCTGGAACTGATGGCATGACCTTAAATATGCCTCAACACACGTGTGCCTCCCTACATCGCGCACACCCCTTTTTCATGCCAGCCTCTCCGTGCACTCATCCCCAGTGAGTCTTACCCATGCTCATTAAACGACGATCCATTCCATCATTCATACTCTACGTCAATTAGTGAGTCACCCATTATTCCATACAAACACCATCCACATCCATAGACAGTATCGTTCCATCCTCACCAAATGAGTCAATTCACCACCATACTCATTTCCATGGCCTCCACAGACTGTCATTCACCATCATCATGGTCTAGTTGCATGACCTTAAATTATAGCGTACGTCCTGACCACATGTTGTTAAACTGCTTTGCCGATGTCTCGAAGGAATTACCTTAAACATGCTCTCACAAAAAAAAAAAAAAAAGGACATGGTGTAAACCTGAAAAGGGATCGCCATGAGTTAAAATGCCGAACGAGCTTGATCATGAAACCATGAGTAAAAGTGTTCCGTAAATAAAAACCAGGCATAGTGGAAATCCGAAATATGCACCATGAGAAAAAATAGGCAAAGAGGCAAACATGGCCATCAGCCCACGGGTAAAAAATCTTACTGAAAAGGAAGTTGGTGAAAACCATCTTTATGGCACCGCTCCCCCAGTCTAAGTGAAAACCCACAAAGGGTACTCGGACCAATAAAGCAAGTTGATGCAGCATTCATCTTCACAAGCAGCTTTGGCCAGCATTTCAAGAAAAAAATCCTCGGTAGCAGAAAACGTTGTTATCAAGAACCAAAAATAAGGTCAGACATGAGGTAAGAAATTGTCAAACCAGGTCAATACCTGCCCATAGCAACCAGGGTAGAGGCCGCCTTGACAAAAATCCTCTCTGACAGGACCAGACATTGGGGCAGGCTAACAAAAGGCCCTCGATTGGACCTGGATGGATGGAACCTCAGAGGTACCTTGCTTGTCAAAGCAAACCTGACGTAGCAGCCAACAACGCCACCAAGACGTTCAACAGGGTGTAGACGTTAAAATCATCCCTCAACATCCACAACAGGAAAGAAACTATCAAATCAGGTCAACACCTACCGACAACAACCAGGGTAGATCCCTTTCAGGGCCGCCTCACTAAAACCCCTCCTTGACCAGACCAGACGTTCGAGACAGGCCAACAAAAAGCCCCCTACTGGACTCAACAGGATGGGACCTCAGAGGTGCTCTACTTGTCAAAGAAAACCTAATATGGCTACCAACAATGCCGTCAAAAATTTGAATAGGGTGTAGACTTTAAAATCATCCCTCACAGGTAAGAAACTGTCACGCCAAACACCCTGCAAATCTGATATGGCTGCCAACAACGTCGTCAAGACGTCCAACGGGGTGTAGACTTTAAAATCATCCATCACCGGTTCTACTACTACCAAAATGTCCAACAGGGTGTAGAAATTAAAATCACCCCTCACAAGTAAGAAACTGTTGTATCAAGCATCCTGTCAAACCTGGTGTGGCTGCCAACAACGCCGCCAAAACGTCCAACAGGGTGTAGACTTTAAAATCATCCCTCAATGTCCCTTCTCCCCCGAAGTCTCCATGAATGGATCTACGAAAAATGTATCCAGACATCTGAGCAGCCTTGTTATAGCGGTATGCGAATATTCCTTCGACGTTCGCATGGTTCTGTGTCCAGGAGAAAAAAATAATAATAAAGTCAAAGGGTAATTTTTGAATATTTTCCTCGCACTTCTTTTGAAGCACAACATTCAGTGGGGCAAACTGTTTGAGGAAAATTTTCATCACCTTGTATCCTCAATGTGGAATAAAGAGAAGCCAGGACAATAAAGCCCTAATCTAGAAGTGAAATTTCAAACAGTCTCAGAATGGCCCAAGAAAGATCAAGAATTTTGATAAAGATCTCTTAAGAATACCTGCCAAGTTTTGTCGCAATCTGACTTATTTAAGGTAGTACAGATAAGAAACAATTTTGGGAAAATCAATCTCTATCGCCTTGAAATTGACCTTATAACTACAGCCCTATCAACGGAGTGCCAAATGACCATGGGACCACTGCCATTGGATTCAGAACATCTAAAAATCCTTAGGGACCAAGTTTCGGCTTGATCAGACAATCCTAAACCAAGCTATGGTAAAATTACCTGAAATGGGTAGCTCACACGCTATTACCGTGCACCCTCAGTGAACTAGTTTTCATTAATAAAAACTGTGTTCATGAGTTTTGGGCTCAACTATAAAAGACCATATCTCTCTCATCCTAAGCCTACTCAAGCTCAAATTTTACGAGCGTATTCATCTCGTCGACCCGAGCATTTGATATGTGGGCACGACCCATGTCATGCCCAAGCTGAGAGAAAAACAGGAGAGAAGTTCGTGATTCAAAGTAAGGTTGCAGGTTTTTCAACAGGACCACACCTCGATCGATCAGCCACATCAAGATTTTCGAACGTCGGATCGACCAGAAATCAGACTCACTACGAGCGTAAGGTTCGAGGCTTCATCAGAGTCGAACCTCGAACGTAATGGGCAATCATATTTGACATACGACGAGTATGAAGTTGCAGCACTTTCTTGCCACTGGAAACCAAATTTCGACCAAAAGATCAAAAATGGAAAATCTTCGTTCGGGCATCAAATCAAGCCACGTTTGTCACCAAACGCTCACGACGACTTGCTAGTTGATATTCATCACATAAATCATCGAAAAACACCAAGAAATTCACGTAGTCTTTAAACAAAGATCGCACGTTTCTCTTGATTTCACACTTCGTGATCATGGCCCAAAGACCCGATCCGTGGCTCGAAAGTGGTATCGAAACCACCGTATTCCAGAGTCGATCAAGAAAAGAATCATCTTTCGGCTGAACGGAGATTGGAAAGACCCCAAACCAACCTGGGAAGATCGTAAGAGTTCTTGGGCACATTAGGGACTCAATTGGAATTTCATGAATTGTTGGTGCAGCTGCAAAATTGTCTTTTTGCTCCAATTTGTTAGATTTTCTTTAATTAATTTAATACTTAATTTTTGACAATCAGGTCGAATTTTGATTGTGCACCTGCCTTTGGGTCCCACTTATATATAAACAAGCACGCACCACATGTAAAGGACCTAATTTTTCATCAATAAAATTTTATTGTTGCTTGAGATTGAGGGTCACATCTTAGAGAGAGAGAGAGAGGAGAGAGAAGACTTTTGGTGTTACCCCCAGGTGTAAGGTAAATTTTCTCTCTTCCTTATGTCTTCCTTCTCTCTTCTTTCTCTCTCTTCTTTCTCTCTTATCTTTCTCTCTTCTTTCTCTCTCTTCTTTCTCTCTTATCTTTCTCTCTTCTTTCTCTCTCTTCTGTCTCTCTTTTCTTTATCTCTTCTTTCTCTCTCTTCTTTCTCTCTTTTCTTTCTCTCTACTCACTCCTCTCTTTTCTTTCTCTCTCTTCTTCCTCTCTTTTTCTCTCTCTTCTTTCTCTCTTTGCTCTCTCTTCTCTCTTCTTCTCTCTCTTCTCTCTTCTTTCTCTCTCTTCTCTCTTCTCTCTTCTTTCCTTTTCTCTCTTTCTTCTTTCCATTTCTCTCTCTTCTTCCTTTTTCATCTCTCGTTCCTTTTCTCTCCTCCTTTCCTTTCCTTCTCTTCTCTTTCTCTTTCTCTCTGTTTCTTTCTCATCCCGTGTTCTTCTCTTCCTTAGTCTGTTGCGCGTAACAGTGCATACTACCGAGCGTGATGATCTCTTCTTTCCCTGTCCATCACGTATGGCAGTGCAAATGGCAGGCCTGATCTTCCTTTTTTACTCAAACAGTTGCTAGCAACAGTACATACTACCGAGCGTGGCGATCTCTTCTCTCTCTCTCCATCACGCACGACAGTGTAAATGCCAGGCGTGATCTTCTTTTCCCCAGTTAGTCGCGTGTGGCAGTGCATAATGTAGAGCGTGACAATCTCTTCTCTCCCTGTCTGTTGTGCACGGTAGTGCAAATGCCAAGCGTGACATTCTTTTTCTCCTCTATCTGTTGCGCAGGGCAAAGCAAACGTCGTGCATGATTCTCCCCTCTTTCTCTCTGATTGTTGCGCACGGCAGAGAACACTGCCGAGTGTGATTCGTTTCCTTTCCCACTTTCTGCCATACACGGTAACACACACTATTGGCATGATTTCCTCTCTCCCTTTTCTCCTTTTACTTGTTCGACCAAAGGGCTGATTGAGCCTTGCACTACTGTGCTAGCCCTGACGTCAACCAGTTTAGCCGTTGTGCCAGACTAGTTACCATGCTCATCTCGCTGTCGTGTTAGGTTAATCATCGTGCTAAGATAGTCTTCGCACCAATCTTGTTATTGAGTAGTTTAGCCGTTGTACCGGACTTGTTACCGTGCCCATCGAACTGCCGCACAGGACCCGCTACTATGCTAGATTAGTCACCGCGTTCGTCCGGTCGTTGAGTAGCTTAGTTGTTGTATCAATCTAGTCACCATGCCCGACTAGCTACCGCACTAGACCGATCGTCATGCTAGTCTTGTCACTACGTAGGCCTAGTCGTTGGGTCAAATGACTCCATTCTTTTACGGTTGAGTGAGAGTCAAGCTGACCTTCACAACTTCTATCATTCGTCTTTCTTCTCCCTCTCCTCATGAAAGTCTCTATTCTCTGCCTCTGAGGAGTTGGGTGAATTCCAAACCAATTTTCGTCCTACTTTTCTTTAAAGAACTAGTTGAACGACATATTAGCCTTGAAACCCTTCCTCCTTTTCTCTGTCATTCCCTCTATCTCACCCCTTTCTTTCTTTTCTTACTATCGGATCTAACTAAAAGTCCCTTGTCAAGGAGACGCCTTAAGGCCGTCGAATTGATGTGGACCCTCATATACTGTTGCTTTCCTTTCCTTTTGAGTACACATGCACGTGTGTGTTCCCCCTGTGACAAGGTGGGGTCCTCAGACCCACTTGTCTGTACTCTAATGTGTGTGTGTGTTTTACAGGTAAGAAGAAAAAGACTAGTTAGGGGACATAATTCCAAACAGGCAACAGGCCAGGGGTACAAACAATTGCGAGTACAATTGATTTCTACTAGAATATTTCTTCTAGAAATTTTGTCAGCAAGTCCAGTAGATTGCAAGTACAATTTATTTCAAAGGAAAAATCTTTTAAACATGAAATTTGGCGACATGAGAGAGAAATCAGATGTGAACACAATGGTCCAATTATTGCCTCAAATGGATCATGTATAAGAGAGATATTATCCATCCAAATTAACATATTTCTGTTGAAAATTACATCATCAAGACCAGTGGATTGTGGATGCAACTGCTTCAAATGTACAAGTCAATCAATGCTGCACCATTTAAAGATGATAGAGCATTGAGTCTTGTATCCAATGGTCATGGTCCCATGAGAAAATTCCTCATATTGAGATAGATATCTTGATTTTGATGATCAGGTGTCATTCTGGTTGTAACGCACGGGGGATAGATCTTTTAAGGCTCCAACTGGCAAAATATGTGTATGATGAGTTTAGCCACCTCTGATTTAATGAAACTTTAGGGAAAGGGTTGTAATGCGACAAACATGGGTACCTAAAGAGTCTCAGCTTAATCCCAAAAACATCAAGGTTCAAGGTATTAGTTAAGGCATGTCTTAATTGATGGTGGATATGGATATCGGTTAAGCCATGCCCAAGTTATATCACTCCTAATCTTTAAGGCATATGAGGCCTTAACAAGCATATCTTTAGCGGACATGGGTGATGTCGGTGAGGTCCTGGTTTCCCTCCAGGTGGTGAGGTGGAAACTGTCTCTCGAACAACCGTGGAGGTCCAACGCGTGGTGCACGTGCGAGCCCTCCTGCTAGTGGATAGGAGGCCGATGGTGAGGGAGATTTTTGCGACTAGAGCACGAACTCTCTTATGCTGCTTTGGGAGTTTGGGGACACGCCTGGGCCGATGACCCTCTTAGAGCAATTACGAAGCCCTCAGCTGCTTGTTAGCATAGTTTGGACCCTCTTCAAGCTCACAACCTCTCTCCTCTCACTCTCTCTATGCTATTGGGGGGTGGTTAAATGCCTCAATCTTACCCTTGGGGTCGGGTTGACCAAGTAGCATGTATCTCAGGTTTTAAGGAGAACTCGGGACTTGAGACCGCTCACTTCGGAACCTTGTTAAGAAATAAGGGCAGGTACACCAACCGGTGAGAGAGGAATTTGGTGTGAGGCAGGGCACACCTCACCTGGGTCTGTGACTCACTCGGGCTGACTCTCATGGGCGCCCTCTTAGATAGTGACGGAAAGCCCCCCAATCCTTCAACTGGTTCGAAATCGCCTCCCATGACCTATACTCTCCTGTTTCTGTGATCACATACACATGGTTAATTTTCAAGATAAGTGGCCTAAGAGACCCCACTCTTTGGTCGAATGTACACATATGTGCACATTTAAAAGAAGAAAGGGAAGAATAAGTGGACAGAGATTGGGGTGATGAAAGGAGAAGAAAGGAGTAGAAGAGAGTAAAGAGAAGAGAAGTAAGGCAAATTTGACCAAATGGCTAGACCGACACAGTAGCCAGCTCAGTACAGTGACTGATTTTAGATAGTAGTAAGACGAGCACATAACTCAGACCAGCACGGTGGCAATATTACTCGACAATAGAACCAACACCAACCAACCTGACATAATAGTTAATCTAATATGACAGC